CCAAGGTGTTCCTGAAGCTCCAGTTAGGTTTGTTGGAAAGCGCTTGTTACGCACATAACTTATAAAAAAACAAAAATCCGACTCACAATTACTGAGAATTAGTCAACGAACCAATGCCAGTTTACACAGTCAACAGACATGCTGCGTGGCCCTAAAATGTGCTTCACCTACATACATCGGCCTAGGAATTCCGCTTCCGCTCATTGGGAGAGGCTGTACAGCCCCAAGGAACGAAGGCTGAGTATAGGACAGTAAGTGTCCCCAAACGCGCTGGGTCTCCCACACTTTGTAAATGGGCCGCTCATGGGCTTGCCCATGGGAAGCCCATGGGCGGCCAATGAGAGTCCTTCAACCAAACCAGTCTACCCCTAAACAATAGATTGTCTGCTTTGGAACGGGCAGTATAGCGGCAAACAACCCTAACGCTATTATCCCTAACCCTGACCCCAAGCCCACGCGACACGTGGGTTGGCACTGGTGGCAAAGTTCTAGGTTGAAGTGCCCACGGTGGACACTTCATGGGCCGCCCATGGCGAGCCCATGGGTTACCCATGGGTGACCCATGGGTGTCCCATGGGCGGTTTAGCAAAACTGTCAGCAGTGTGAGAGATTGAACGCGCTGTTACACCAAGTCAGCGATTTTTCCAGTACCAGGTTACAGTAGTACAGTTGTACCAACAAGCGGACCCGCGGCATGGGAGATATATGTGCAGAGGCACACAGGCATCACATAGATAGCAGACTGTTACACAGCGTACCAACCCACTCAAGCATGGTAGACCAAGGTTGCCCACGCGTGGTTCACGCAGTCGAGCATGGTGACGACTGCGGTGCGGTAAACAAGCATTCGAGGGCTGTGTCCCCACATTGTCCGCACTACTATCCATTGTATGTACATGTAGGAGGGTAAATTTAGCGAATTCGGTCTGCTCCTCTTTTCTTCGTTACGCGGTTAGGTTAGAAAATGCTGAGAGCACGTGGTGCTTTCTTGGCGCTTGCTGGAGGTTCGTTTTCGCACCATCCAACTGATGCTGCTGCAGGCAGCTGTGCCTGCGCTACGATCGTGTTGTTGGAGGAAACCACACGAAACCACACGGCAATCATCCACATCGCCCACACCACATACATACCCTCAGGGGAACTGCAAGCCCGGACTAGAATATCGCCTCTACGGGCGTGAACGAAGAACCCCAACGCTCGATGGAACCGCGGAATGTATGCCATCTAGGAGGAGCTCCCACAACTCCTACCGTTCATCTACCGTTCTGCCTACAATTTTCCGACATTCATTCTCCCTCGCACGCAAAACCATGCCAACAGAACGCCGAATGGGGGCATACTTACGCCTCCTCGAGCGTGTATGCGGCTCCTCTTCCTTCTCCTTCTCTCCTCCTCCTCCGCAACTCCTTCCTCCTGGTCTTCCCCTACCCTTACCCGTACTCCCCTCCCTCCTCCTCACTGCCCCCTCGTGCTCTTCGCTGGACTCCGCGTTTGTTTGCGTCTACTGCGTGCCGGGCACTTTTTCGGCTAGTTTTGCGCCGAAATGGCCTGGGCTAGACGTACGACCCTCGCTGCGGATGTGTTGATCACGCTCTTCCTCTCAGTGTTCAGGCGTGGTACACGAAGCACAGCAGAAGCGAGGTGAGCGCGCAAGAGCTGAGTGCACATGGCTCGGGGGCACGCAGTTCGATGCACAACTGCCCCCACACTACGCCGGTGTCATTTATTGTTTTTCAAGTAATATGGTCTTGATTAAGTACGATTTTGTATCGCGTTTGGGGGTCGTTTCGTTCCTCAGCCCCCCCCCCCCNCCCCCCCACGATTATCGAAAACATCAAATTGGGTTTCGAAGAAGTTGTTGTTGGCGCACCGTTGTTTTCTCATCTAGTTCTATTTTTTCATCGTATGCATTCACCTGTCCACGCCAAACATGTTTAACGTGTCGTGCACAGATGAAACACTGTGTGTCACGACAACATGCGCCCTAAATTGCCTGAGCGGGGAACGCGTTGTTGGAGAAACCACACAGTCATCCACATCATGCACGCCACATTCCCGAATCAATGTTGAGTGAACTATATGCCCCGAGTAGCATTACACCTCATGCGCGAGGACGCCCAAACATTCCCTCAAAGAAAACTGGGTACTACCTAGTTGTGGAGAATTGTTCCGGGCACCTACATTTGCGGGTGAAAGCGAAATATAGCTGAAAAGCGCTCGTGAGTACCAAACTTCGACGTTAGCACGGTTGACGAGGGAAAGGGACGGCTGGACCCTTCTCGCGATAAAATAAAAATTCAGCACGCACCGCAGGAGGAAGGTGGGGCATGAAAAGAAATAAAAAGAAGAAAAAAGCCCTGGTGTTTACCCCCTCCTGTGTGACCCTGGATGGTTGTAGTTGTACCAAAAAATGCACTGAAAGGTGTTGGACTCTACATTCGCTGAAAAAGTGTAGTACACGTCTCACCACAAAAATGGGGAGACTGTCGCCTTAAGAAATAGGACGTAAACCCCCCCCCCCCTGCCCCCGGTGTTTACCATCGGGGTTGGGTTTTCGTCGCTTGGCAACGACGTTGTAATACAAGCCACCCCCTCGTTGTTTGCCATCGGGATTGGGTTTTCGTCGCTTGGCAACGACGTTGTAAAACAAGCCAATTCACTTCGTGAACTCGGCAACCAGGTTAGTTACCGTTTTTTTTGCCTCTGTTTTTTTTTGGCGGTAACCGTGAATGAATGGTGGTCGAGTAGATAATGTTGTGCGGGATGGAGAACCCTCACTCCGCGCAAGGGGGATGATCGCACCACGTTGTGTTAACATGGTCAAGCACCCTCGAGGCAGTTACACAGTGCTTACATCTGTCTCAGGAAGTGAAAGCACCAGAAAATAAATCAATTATACGCAGCTGTCATCCGTCCGCAAGGAAGTAAGCACAAGATGCCGAACATCCTTAGCAGGATGCAGCGCACCCTTCATGCGACTCGCCGAATATCTCACGGCGCTTCGCGCTTGGTGATGTGAGAGCCTGGCCCGGTGAGAACCCGGCGTGCTCCGTCCCGGCTTTGTAGGGATGCGAGATCAGTGGTCTAACGACTACGGCATGCACGACTATGAGTTCACTCCCCCTCCTTGGTGGCTATCATGTGATGATATCTTTCACACCCTGTACAACTAATCAAAACAACTGAAGACTTCAACTATCAACGGCTTCAACGGCTTCTACTCGGAGGTTGTTTGAATCACCTAGGTGCACAAGATCGTGGCCCTATGGGCGCCTCACAGCTCCAGCGGGAACAGATATCGACCAGTTTCACACCTTTCGTAGCGCCGTTGGCAAGCCATATTGGCGTTATATTATTATATTATTATTATTATTATTATTATTATTATTATTATTATTATTTTGTTTTATATATTGGCGTTATATAGATTAAAGTTGAAAGTGTACAGTAGCAGTTGTTTCGCACAACGATTCTCCAGCAATTGATTCGAAGCAGGTAGCTGCGCAACGAATAGTTGTTTGGTAAAACAAGTACAACTATTATCGCAGTTGGTGTGCAAGCACTGGCCAAACACCAGCGGCTCTGCTGCCGTTTCTACAGCGTATAAAATTACCTAACGAACATTCATTTTCGTATGTATGCGTACCGACATATCTTTTAGACCTACGGCAAAAAAACTATTGCTTTGCCTCCCCTTTTGTCCCCGCAATACGTGCACGATTTTAGGCGTTATATGAAGTCAGGCAGCCAGTGCACCTACAGCAGGCGGCGGTGGCATCTCCCTCAACCACACCAGCAGGAACGCCAGCCTACCCCATCTGATGGTGATGGAACGCACGGTAGAGAGGTCGTACTCCATTCCACACCAACCGGCGCCATCGCAACATCTGGCATGTTGTCTATTAAGAGGTAAAATATTATGAGTCCAAGCGGTCAACCGGCAATCCCTGTCACGTTTGATGTTTGTGTTGAAAATCCGGTTGACATGCAGACACAACAAACAGCAGTAGCGCATAGACGTGCAACGTGACTTCCCGTTCTTGCGTGAGTGCTATCTGATAAAGTTAAACCATTAGATTAGTCAGCGCTAACTTGTGTAATGGTGTAACTTTATCTTATAAAAGATATGCTCAGAGCTCATTTGCACCCGGCAGGATCACTTGGGTTTTATTGCTTTATCACTGGGATTGAGAGTAGGGATCTCCGGGGACGGACCCCTCGCCAGACGCTGATAGTTCTAGGTGCACTTTTTGCAAAGAAAAGTGATCCTGCCGGTATTTGAACTCGTGCGGGTATCCACTTTGATAAAGTTACACCATTAGAAATTCAGCCGCTGACGAGTCTAATGCTTGAACACATGGCGCTGAAGGATGCACGCACGGGTTCGAACCCCGGCTGCTCACTTTCCCACCATTAAGACCTTTTCAGGCAGCGTCTGGCGAGGGATCCGTCCCCGGAGATCTCTACTTATTCACAAACCCAAAATAAATGCGATCCTGCCGGGTTCTAATAAGATCCGAGTATATCTTTTGAAAGATACAGTCACTCACAAACCCAAAATGTGATCCTGCCGGGTGCTAATGAGCTTTGAGTATATCTTTTGTAAGATAAATTTCCACAATTAGACTGCCTAATGGTGTACCTTTATCTAATAGTCTAGACTGCTCGTCGAATGCGCACATGTCAAAGCACGAGCAGGGAAGCTGCACCCAATACTAGCAAACCGGCACCTCGATACATGCATCAAATTGACAGTTTTGAAGAGCGTAATCGTACCGCCGCTAGAGTACGCCGGAGAAGTATGGGAAGGAAATAAGAAGGTAGACTAGTGAAAGAACTCGGGGCGGCGCAGAAAAAAGCAGCGAAAACCATCCTAGGATGCTCCAGGCGCACAAAACAACATATTCGNTCTCAATCAGATACTTCGCTCTCAATCAGGCGAATATGTTGTTACAAGTAATGCAGCCATCAGGGCAGAATTGGGGATCCAACCCCTACGGTCGGGAAGAGACGCGAGGGAGCTGACATGGCAGTATCGTGTGTATGTGCGGGATGGGAGAGGAGAGGTTGCCGATAATAGTCTGGGAGGCGAAGTGGGCAAACAAAAAGAGTAGACAACCCACGGAATGGGAAAGGTTGTATGTAGAGGACGCATGGAAGGGGCTCGAAATCGACGAAGATGAAACGCTGGAAACGGAGGGTCTGCAGGGGTTCAAGGAGAAGACATCTGTTGCTTGTGCCGAGAGAAAATAATCTACGGAACAAAACCAAGGATAGGGAGGGTCTACAAGTGTACGGAATGTTGAAAGAAGGAAAAGGGTTCAAGGATTACCTACTACATGGATTAACGGATGCAGGGACAACGCTCAAGGCCAAATTCAGGACCGGGGACACAGTCTAGGCCTTCGAGAACGTCGACGAAGACATAGGACGGTCGACGACGAAGACGACGAGTTCAAATGTGATTGCGGCTTCGAATGCGAAGACCGTGTTCATGTAGTCGCGGAATGTCAATTGTACGGAAAGGAGGGAAGTAAGTGTACATGACTGAGCTGGGAAAATTAGACGTGAGGTACAGGGAGATGTTTGAGGCATGGGATAGAGAGAAGACGGTAGCTGTACTGGGGAATATGAAGCGGTTTGAAAAGGCGGGGATGGATTTCGTTAGGATAGACTAGGAACTACATCTTTGAGCCACCTTTAGCAAAGCAGGAAGGAACGATCGGCCTTCGGTGATCGGTCCTGTGGAACAGTACTCCGTCCTCTCGAGGACGCGTGGTCAATGGTCTAACCGCAAAAGGTCCGTTCACAGTTTTTATTTTTCATTTTTTTATTTTTCGCCAACCAAAGGGGGCGCAAATATTGCATTTNCTCACCGGACCAGGCTCTCACATCACCAAGCGCGAAGCGCCGTGAGATATTCGGCGAGTCGCATGAAGGGTGCGCTGCATCCTGCTAAGGGTTGTCGGCATCTCATGCTTACTTCCTTGCATGCGGATGACAGCTGCGTAGGAATCAATTTCTTTTCTGGTGCTTTCACTTCCAGAGACAATTGTAAGCACTGTGTAACTGCCTCGAGGGTGCTTGACCATTTTAACACAACGTGGTGCGATCATCCCCCTTGCGCGGAGTGAGGGTTCTCGACCCCGCACAACATGATCTACTCGACCACCATTCAGGGTTACCGCCCAAAAAAAAACAGAGGTAAACAAAAAAA